GCAGGATAGAAGGCTTAAGGCTTCTTCTGAGCTCAGCCTCTGCCCTGTGAGAATAGGGATGGAGGAGCAGCAGAGGGAAAGGATGCTTAAGCTGAAGTCCGGACTGAGAAGCATCTCATGCCAAGAGCTTGGGTAATTCTGAATCAGAGGCCACTTCCGTCCTAGAGATGTGAGCCCCCACAAGAGGCAGGAGACAAGAGGACTCTTACAAGTCTGTGACCCCATGCCCTGCAGGCAGAGCTGGCCGGTATCTCACAGCAGCAGCATGTATCCAAGGAGTGACTCCAGTGGGACTCGGGCTTTGCACCAGCTGGGTAGGGGGAAATTTGCAAATCCAGCATCTGACATACGGGACCAGGGCCCAGTGAGGCTGTATGATCTCCAGCCAGGGAGACCTGCAGCACCAAGAGGACGAGGCCCTGGGCAGCTTTGGGAGGCAGGGCCACTGGAGCAGGGATTGGACTGGTGGCCTCCAGTGGTCCCTGCCCGCCTGAATCCCTGTGCAAGCCTGTGGAAAAAAGCCAGTCTTGTGCCAGGTTTCAAAGTACAGTTCATGACTGGTGCATAATGAGCCTCAAAGCTCTAGAATTCAGCAGGAAAAGTGCCTTTGATTTCAATGGTTTTTATTTTAGCTTATACATGACCTGTTGGTGTAATTATTTCAGTGAATTATTGAGAGATGTTATCACTGGGTGCAAAGTGGCCTTAAGTAAGATCTGTGCTTGAAGCGGCCACGAGGACTTTTCTCTTTGCAGAAGCTGTCGGGTTCAGCAGGTCTTCCTCTTCCTCCTTCTCACACCGGGATCCTTTCCTTGTGAGTAAATGAGTAATTGTTGCACAACATTTCTCTGCAGACGAGTGTTTGAGGGGGCCTTGACTGGATTGCACAACCTTACTTGGTCAGAGTCTCCTGAAACATTCCTGTCTGCTGATGGCTCATGTGAGGGCCAGAGCACGAGTCACAGTGTGACCATCTTGACTAACCAGGGGTGGCCACAGATCACCAGACTGGACTGCTTCCTCCTCGCCTAGGCTGCAGCATGAGGAAGCCCCATGGCAAAGCAAATGAATAAAACCCCATGGAGCATTTAAAAATGCCCATTTCATTCCCACATTTGACCTTTTGGGTTGTTTTTTCTCGCTGCCCAAAATGTCAGGTATCAGTGCAGGACCCTGGGCAGCAGGGTCCAGAGGGAGGCATGTGCTGAACGACTCCGGTAGTCTCCACGCTGGGGACTCAAACCTTTGCCAGAGTCACTGGAACAACAGCATGTTTGCTCCAGACAGGCTATTTCTGCATGGCTCTGGTGCATGTAGGGCCTGAGTCCAGCTGCTGACCTGTGGGCAGCCATCTCTGTCCTGGGATGCTCCAGGACCCCATCATATGGGTCACCTCCCAGCTTCTGTTCCCTGATAAGGCAGGGCTGTGGTCGGGCTCTGGAGGAGCCGTGTCACCCCTGTACCCCAAAGATGTATGTTTCATTAAGTTGTTGCTGGTGGTTTATAAAATGTGACCAAACAGGCCAGGTGCCCCATGGCCTCCGAGCAAGCCCCACTCTGCACCAAGCCCTAGCACAGGGATTTCCTTCCAGGCAGCTTGGCACAGTTCCTTGCATTACTGTCAATAATCTCTGAGTTGGGGACAGCCCTGGCAACCTTAGCAAATCAAATCAGAGCTTTGCAGTTGTTATGCCAGAGGAAAACGTGGCATGTGCAATACGAGAGCCTTTATGAAAGCCCACAGAAATTCAGCTGGCACTTCTGCATTTTGAAAACTGGGATCTGCAGGTCTGACTTAGGGACTAGGCTTTGATCTGAGCCAATTTGGATTGCAATGCTTTAGCACTGTTGCGGTTTCCGTGGGCTCCACTTATCAGTTGTGTAATTCAGTTCCCTCTTGTCCTGAGGTCCAGCTGCTGACTCAGACATCCCAGGACACTGCAAGGTGCTGGAACATTTTGTTTCATCAATCTTTTGTTCAACCCTGGCCGGTGCAAAGTCCGGTTTCTCTCCGGAAATACCCAGCAGAAGATCAGTCCTAGCTTCTTTCCTTGCATGTTGCTACTTTAGCCTCATCCCCATCAGATTACTTCAAGCTCATTAACTGTACAAAGATAACCTGATGAGCCCAGGGACTTTGGCGGACATACACACCTTTGCTTCTGGGGCTTACAATAACTTGCAGCAGCCATGGCAGAACTAAGCTGCTGGTCAGACCCCACATCTCTAGGTCTGGCACTGGGGACCCGCAGTCCTGCTGTATGTGAGCTCCATGCAGTGTGATAGCTGTGCATAGGTGACGGGAGGTGAAGTGGGTATATGGCTTGGAGTCCTACCAACGGGAGCGAGGAGGCCAGTGGGAGGTGGGCCACAGACCTAGTCTGGGCCCATGGTTTGTGTGGGGAATGGGCGTGAGAGGTGTGGGGGGGTCTCCTTTGAGAGTGTCAGTGCAAACCAGATGAGCTGGGGAGTGTTTCTAGGGCGGTGGGTTGAGAAAAAAGGAAAGTTGGTAAGTAACGCTGCATAGAGGTTGGACCCTCCTGCTGCCACAGCCCTAGGCGTGACAGTAAATATTGTCCTCAGTGTGGCCAACATGGAGCAGGTCAGACTCTGGGACATACGCACATTAGTGACAATACCTATGGTGGAAGCAGGACAACAGGCCTCTCGGTGTGCAGGGACTTACTGGCAGTGCTCCCACCACTGGGGAAACTGCCGTGAGTTCACCCAACACAGAGGTTGAGGAGCTGAGGAGCTGGGCGGGGTGAGGACACACTGCCTCACAGCCAGAGTGCTCAGGGGACCAGCTCCCCAGTGAGGGCCTGTCACTGATCCATCAACACACAGCATCCAGGGAAGCAGAAGGGTGAGAGCTGAATTCCTTGCCACAGCCTGCAGGATGGATGTGGGGAAGCTGCTGTTGGGTCAGAGAGGTCCCAGAGACATTAAGGCTCCCTGGAGGCCTCTGCCACTGCTAAAGCCAGGAGTGGGACTGTAGGTAGCACCAGGGGCAGCCCCAGTCTGGGGCTTGAGCAGCTCCCTGGGGATGGGGACTAGCAGAGGCCAGGCTGGGACAGAGCTGTGGGGAGCTGGAGACCAGCACTGCTGCAAGTATCACTGGGGCAGGAGCTGACAGCCCTGGGAGGTGATATGGGGTCCTGAGCCCTGGGCCGGGTTGGGGTAGCCTTGGGGTGGCACTGGAAGCAGCAATGCCTGTGTGTGCCCTCAGAGCCCTGAGAGCAGCATCTCCTCCGTCAGACAGTACTAGGAGCCTGTGTGTCAGGTTTAGCCATGCCATCCCGAGTGCCACCCAGAATGCAGCCCAGGCTCCCAGCAGGAGCATGCTGCACTGCAAAAGGTTAACAGCAGCACAAGGGAGGGGTTCAGCTCCAGCATTCTTACCAGAAGCAAGGCAGACAGCTGCACGTGAGCAGAAATAACCATGACTTTGGAGTCAGCTCAGTACGAGTGTCACACACTGCAGGGTTTGCACGATGTCCTTGAAACCAAGATTAGTTATTCACTGTTCCTTATTCTTTGTTGTTCCTTCCCCACCAAGATGTGCAGCAGCCCAAGCTGGCAGATGCACAGCAGCGGTTTGCTACCTGTATGCAGATTTGGCCAGCGTATGCTACAGCTGAGGCATGCAGACACAGACATTTCAAGGCCCAGAGACAGTAACCAGCTACGGCTGACACCACCTTACCTTTGGAGCTCCAGGAGTCAGGCAGGGAGCTCTAGAAACTTGGCCCAGTGTGTCCCAATTATTATTTCTTTTTAATGGAGGAAACAATAGCAGTTCTGAGCAAAACCCACAGTAACACATACAGTAACACAATCAGAGCTTTGCTAGGCTTGATCCCAAGGTTGTGTAGCTGCAGTGGAGGTTACGTGCCTCTTGCATGCAGACTATCCGGTATCTAATGCTCACAGTGGGAATCTTGTCTGAATGAAGGCACCCAGAAGACATGCATCTGTCTTGCAATTAAGGCTCCTGCTTCCATTGTCCAAGCCTGAAATATCGTTTTCAAATTTCAGAAAATGCATTTCTACATTGGTTCAATTTATTGTGAATTCAGGTTTGCAGGGAAATTTAAGTCTGCAACGACTGAAAGCACAGGTAGAAAGGAGAATTAGCAAGTTCTGTCTACAACAGCCTGAATTTATTAATGTAAGAAACTGGTGGGACTTAGAGTCACAAAAACACTAGAGAAAATGACATCTAAGTAAAAAGGGATGCGTATTTAATTCTATCTCTTTTTGATTTTCAAATTTTCATCTGGTTTGCTACACTGGGAAAAATATTAAGTTTCTTTACAAGCACTTATTTAAAAATAATTGCACCATATCACACATGGAAATAAATACACAATTACCCAATGACACTATTATACAATCAATGTGACTAAACTGCTGTACACGTAAAACTGATGGTGAAGACTTTCAATCTTTAAAAAAAAATAATGCATTGATGAAAATGCCTATGCTACCTGATTTCAGTAAGAAATAGATGGCAGAAAATGTACTCTTAGGATCATCTTGCATGGTCCATAATTCTGTGGATTGCAAAGGCAATGACATTTTGTAGAGAGCAAGCCAGAGATAGAGTTCTGCTACAGATGGCAATGCTATGCCTCTGAATACATCAGACAAGACTCAGTTTATTCAAACTGTGTGAACAGATACTGTAAGGTGTTAAAGATAGCATTGTGGTGCTTGTGCACAGAGGTGATTCACACCTGCCATAGTTTACTATGGAGTAAATGTCAAATTGTCATTTCTGCAAGATCTCTAGGTTTTTTCCACTGTTCATTCAAGTTCTGCGATGCCGGCTGGCTGCCAGCAGGGTGTTCTGAGGTTTGATACTTCAAGTTTTCCAGAAGATGAATGTTCTTCTGAATGCTCTTTTTATTTCTGCAGATGAACTCTGCTGAGAAATGCTCTGTATTTGGACAGCATCTACAATTAGCATATCTGCCCTGTGTCAAAGGCCATGCTCCAGAGACCTTCTGAGGTCTGCAGTTATCAGAGGATCTCATGAGATAAACTATCCAGCTCTTCCAGGACACAACAACCACAACAAGAAAAGCAGCACAGCCCTTAGGGAAAGTCTGACTCTTTGACAATTGGAACTGGTGGGGTTTTATGGTCTATTGGTTTATAAATAAAATGGAAATCTTTCTTGGTTTCGCACTTCAGGAGGGAGGCTTTGATATGGTGAGGAAGGGCATCTTTGTCCAGCTGCAGCCACTGGTCATCAACATAAACAAAGAGTCTATAGTCCTTGGGATGGGAGACTTCAAACTTCTCGGCACACTGCTGGCTCAGCTGCTCAACTGTGGTGTCTTTCCGGGAAGCAAGTGTCCTTGACTGAGCACCAATTTCCAGAAAGGAGATAGAGATGAAATCCTGAAGAGAAACATGAGCATAGATCTTAAAGCTGACACTGTGACTTAGGACAGAAGGGGGTAGCATTCAGCCCCAAAGCACTAGCTGCCTAGAGCTCCTAAATGCCCTCAAATATCCTCCAATCATTCTCCAACGCCCCAGTTAGTCTCTCCTTTCTCACTTCTGAAGGACAAGCTCTGAATCAGCAAATACTTAAACTAACAAACACTTAACCGAGGACTTAGCCCTTTAAAGACATGTCAGTGAAAGCTTTTTTTCTGATTTTGGTGAATATCCTTAGTGAGCAGTCTGCAACAGTTCCTTCTCCCACTTTTCTGCAACTCCTGAATAAATAGGATGCAAAGAAGTAACAGATCAGAATAACAACCCCAAAACCGCAGAGATCTGGCTGGAAAATGCCCTGTCTCGTAGAAACAGGAGAGGGTTGGCAGTGTGGTGACCCTTGCAACTTCCCCGTCACACAAACAGCACCTTGAGAGTGTGTCCTCCAAACTTCCTTCCATCAGTAATGAAACAGCAGAAGTTATGCCGAGAAAGCTGTTTTCCTTGTATCCTGTTTGAGGCTTTAATTGCTGTTGGGATGTTTTTGCCAGACTCGTGAGGAACAGAATCTAGAGGGCTTTCAGTCACAGTGGAACCTGAATGTTTAATTTGTATCTGTGAAGTTTAAAAAAATTCCCAACCATTTTACTCAGAAAATACTCAGGTTCATTAGAAGTGAGTTTTGTCAAATATGTGGACTATGGGTTTCCAAACTGTATTTATGGAGTGTCACTGCAGATGACTAAGGCAGCCAGAGGGATGCGCAAGAGCCTGCTGAACACATCAGTAAGCTGTTTACATATGCCAGGATGTGCTTGCATGTTTCGGATTCATTCTAAGGAATGTAAAATTGTCCTTATGCTTCTGGAGGGGGTGGGAATCTTCTGGAGAAATGCAGCATTTGCTCATTCAGCTATTATGCTCCATGCTAGCTATTTGCTATGAGCTACTGCCAGAGCAGCACTTGGGGCTGGATGGCTGTTTGGTGTATCCCATCCATCATTCTCGCGTTCCGAGATCATCAGGGACTGCTTTGACCACACTATGGGAAACATAATCAACTCAACGCTTTCACAGGGCTATGTGGTCTGCGCCTCCCGTTCAGGAGACTTTCCCTCGGCTTTCCCCTTGGCGTTCACAATTTTGTTTCGCACTCTGAAGGCTTTACAGAACCGAGACGTGGCCTTTGCTGCCTCCCTGTGGCTGACAATTTGATCACAGGACATCGAGCTGGCACGGCATCACAACTGCCTGGTCCTGCACCCACCGTGAGCTCACCATGGCTGGAGGCCAAAGCACTCATCCCTCCTCGGACCGTCTCCCGCTGTGCATGGGGAGGTCTTCACTGAGCTATACACAGCATGGGCTTCAAAGCTAACCAGATACTGTTAGGTCTTTCCTGCTGCCAGGCGCAAGAGGCCAGGCTCTGGGAGATGCTCCTCTGACTAGTCCTTGGGATGTCTCAGGTCCTCCTACAGCTTTATGCCATCTAGGAACTGTTCCTGCATAGCCTGCTCACATCTCCTCAGCTTAGTCCGTGATTTCCTCAGGCCCTAAGGGTGACGAAGGGGCTCCCTGCTTCACCAGCACAGCTTTCCACATGTGACTGCTCCTAGCATGCCTCCTTTGAAAAGGAACAACGAAATCACTCTGCAGCTGTATTAAAAATCACATTGTTATGAGGGTACGTCAAGATTTCAAAATTAATTTTTAAGTGATATATATTTCAAATGAGGTTTTTAAGATTTTGAAATGTTGCACATATGCATTCTTGTTTTTTACTAGTGACTTGGGTTAGCTTTGTTTTAAAATAATTATTGAATTATAAATCAGTAAGCACATAAGAAAGCATGGTCATCTTTCAGGCTCTGTCCACAGCAAACAATGCCAGCTACCTGCACTGATGAGCGGGAAGCCCGGGCCTTGTTCAGTGTCCTCCGTCGCTCCCAGCGGTGAATGGAGTCCTGCACCTCCACGCTCAGCTGCCGTGTGACAGTGATTTTGTCGTAGTTCTTGATGTGCTCCAGGGCCCCATAGGTGGTGGTTAAATAGTAGGAGCCTGCAAAAGGTAAGGTCTTGTATGAATATCACACCAGCCATTTCCACTTCCATCCTGCCTGCTGACAGATGCCTAACACTTGCACTGACTGTGCTTCGCTGCAGGGAGCTCAGGCATGTCTGATATTAACGCAAGAGAAAGGAGACCTAATGGACAGTGTCCTCCACCCCCTTCTGCTTCACAGCACTGTCACTGTCCAGATTCAAGGTAAACTACTACAAAGGCTGCTTTCACAAACAAACCCAAGCCTTTGACCACAGATGGTTTATTCTTCGGGGCATGGCCATCTCTTTGCTGTGTTTAACAGGGCCAGTCCAACAGGTCTGCAGTCTGGACTCCTGAGCAGTCCCCATAATGCAAGGAAATTAGTATCAATGGTACTTACTCTGTTAGAAAATGACAATGCAGCCCCCTCCAGCTCTAGCTACATTGCTAAAGTGTTTAGAGCTCAGGTCTGCTTGTGGGCTCAGCACTGTTTAGGATGTCTCAGACCTGCAAGGACAAGTTACCCTCTACTCCCTCCATCTCTATCATCTAGACTTGGAGCCCAGACATTGGCTGAAAGTAACTCCTGGATTGTTCAGAGCTGGGGGATATATCTTAGTAAAGCAGAGAGATGGGATAAAGCAGTAAAAGCCTGAAGTCACCCTCTTCCCCTCAGAAGCTCCAAGACTGCTGTGGTGTTGGCTGTAGCAGGTAATGAATAATGAACTGCAACAGCCAAGAAAGTAGCTGGGCCATGATAAAAAGAGGGTTTATCAACAGAGGTGAAGATAAGCCCTGATAAGAAGGCAGAGCTGAATACTGGGAAGCTGCTGCTTTGGTTGTGAGGCAGACCCATGCCAAGGAATGGCCCCAGTGCCCAGTTGAGAGTGTTCGTTTTCCCAGCTGCACCAGTGTCTCCTCTGAACAGAAGGAAGGAGTCAGCCTGCAGAGCTGCCCGAGCAGGAGCACACGTGGCCTGAAGCAGGGTGAGGGGCCAGTCCTCGGTGGGGCCGAGCCCCGGCTTCTAGGAAATTCCCCTCTTCCGCTCCGCTCACAGCGGTGCCAGGGAAACGGATAAATAAGAATAGCCTGTCAGCTGGGAGGGCTCCCTGCTTTTGGTAAGTTTCGTAATAACTGCAGTTGCCTCTAGATGGCACTGCCACATCACCCAAACCTCGCACCTCCCCGCCTGCCGTTTCGTAACCCTTCCTCAGGCTCTGATCAGCTCCACAGTCATTGCGGCTGGTTGCTTAAGTGGCAGGTAAGAGTATGTAAGAGAAGTATTTTCGGAGCACCTTTAAAGTCTGGTGTAAGACAGGGGAGACCAGCATTGCCATTTGACTTTTTGTACTTGGTGGGTCTGATGAGGAATGTTCCATAGCTACCTAAGTCTGCATATACCAAACCCCCTCTGTTTCTTTACCATCTCTCACAAAGTGCTGCTGAAAACAGGCTAACAAGCCTACAAGTGCCACTTTTCCTCTCTTAAACAGAGTTACTACCTTCCCTTGTCTGTCATTCAGCATTTCTCTCTCTCTAGCACAGTCAGGGGTCCCTGTGATGGGACTCACAACCTGGTGTGTCCTTTCCCTCGGAACCCAGGGAGGAAGATCTCCCAGTCCTCCATGACAGGAATTCATTATATCTTTAAGAATTATTTTTTCTTAGACTCAGTTTCCAGTATCTTCCTTTCCACACAGTCATTCCCCATTGTCTGTCCCTGATTTTGGCCCAGTAGTCAACACCACTGTTGCTATAAAATTCATTCAAAGTAAATTTTTAATTTGAAGGCCAGATTTAAATGAGTTTATGTATTAGCTGATGTAATTTCACAGTTTTCTCACTTTTGCTTTTAGTGTGTTCTTTTTTCTTTTCTGTGCCTGAATCACTTTTTGCCATTTAACTTTGAAAGGCCTAACTCAACTGAATTTTTTGCCATTTTAGCCCTGTTCTTCACAGTCTCAGAGCTGTCTTCACTGAGACTTTTTCATTCCATTCCCTGTATCAGCAGTTGTTCCCAGTGTCCTTTGTGATGTGATTCTTCAGCCAGTTTGATCTGGAACTCCCTCACAAAACTTCCCCCCTTTGGCTGGCATGCACATTTCACACAGTCTTTGCATCTTTGACTGAAGAGAACCTCCGGCCTGCTTTGCCTTTGATACACTGAGCCCAACCCAGATGTCTTCAGTAACCAGCCTGGTAGTATGCCCTTTTGAAATGAAGAACCTGTGGGCGACACAGTCACCAAAACCAGCTTAATTACGTCAGCAAAATGTTGTGCTTAGACTAATGTTTTTTTCTGCTAACAGTTCTTTCCAGTGGGATAATTAGCTTGTACAGAAACCCCTCACTAGTACGATTGCACTGTCACTGCTCATTCTTGTAGTACTTACTTTTGCCTACCTCTGCACTGTGCTGGGATGACATGCTCTTAGTTACAGACTTGTACCTCTATTTAACATGAATAAAAGTAGTCTGCTGTTATTCATTCAGGACCTCTTTATAGAACTTCAGTACTTTACAAAACAAAGTCTAAAGTAAAGCCCATTTTACTTCTTTAGTGACTACGTGGTCACAAATTATCTGTGTTCATAACTCGGAATGCATAACTCTGTCACTGTTAGTAGCATTTGCTTCCCAATCTATATTTAAGAAATGAAAGGCCCACAGTTCCCTAGGGTATCTACCCCTCTAGTAGCGGAGGTCTTTATTCACATCCAAACCTAATATTCCACTCTAACCTAACTTTCCTTTCTGTGCCTCACTTTGATACTTAGCCAGAGAACATTGTTTAAAGGGGTCACTCAAATGTAAGAGTAGAGTCACCAAAAGAATGATGTATGGCCCCAGGCATACAAACCAGTTTACGAAATGTGCTCTTTTCTCATTGGAATAAGTCTTTGCACAGACCTTTCAATTTTTCAGCCTTTGGGCCAAGGAACACTAGATATCTCTGTTTAGGTTACTAATGCAGCAACTCAGATCTCATTTATGCTAGGTCCCTGCCTTTCTAACTGATGTCTAAGGGCACCACATTGCAAAAATCAGCTAAAGTGTTTGACAAAAATTTTAGAGTCTCATATTTGAAAAGTCTGGCCAAAGCTTATCCATAAAGCCTAGCCACAGCCTTGATGCCCCACTTTCACAAACACTAAAGCGAGGTAAAGAATGATTTCCAGAGTGAATATCCCAGGAGCAAACACTGTACTCTACCTTCCCCTAGCTGCAAAGCAGGGTCCATGAGCTCCATCATATACTCCACATTCAGAAGGACTTCAGTCAAGTTGCTGCGAGCCAACACATACATGAGCACAGGGAGGAAGTCATCTGCACCATACGGCTTCCCTGAGCAAAGAGAAACACAGAGTGGTCTCAATAAACTCACCACAAAGATACATTCCCCCACAGCAGTGACAGCTTCTCACCCAGCTTGTCCTTTGCAGACTTTTGCTCACATTATGTGAAGAGTTAAAGCTCAAAAGAAAAAAAATGCTGAAAAAGGGAAGGTTAGTACACTTAAAAAGTAAGTAGACTTGCTTCAAGCCCAAAATACGAGAATGAAAATTTTTACTGTGCTCCATTTCTTTATTAACTGGATAAAGAGAAGCTTAAGCTTCATGGATCTCAGGCAAATGAATCTGAACGTGCACAAGTCCAGGGGTCCTGATGAAATCCATCCACGGGTCCTGAAGGAACTGGCAAATGAAGCTGCTAAGCCACTGTCCATCATATTTGAAAAAGCATGGCTGTCAGGTGAAGTTCCCAATAACTGGAAAAAGGGAAATATAAGCCCCATTTTCAAGAAGGGGAGAACGGATGACCCAGGGAATTACAGACCAGACAGTCTCACCTCTGTGCCTGGCAAAATCTTGGAGCAGATTCTCCTGGAAGGCATGCTAAGGCACATGAGAAACAACAAGGTGCTTGGTGACAGCCAGCATGGCTTCACTAAGGGGAAATCCTGCCTAGCTGATTTAGAGGCCTTCTATGATGGGGCTACAGAACTCATGGACAGCGGTAAAGCAGTTGATGACATCTACCTGGATTTGTGTAAAGCGTTCGAAACTGTCCCTCACGACATTCTTGTCTCTAAATTGGAGAGACAGCAATTTGATGAATGGACCACTCGGTGGATAAAGAACTGGCTGGATGGCTGCACACAAAGAGTTGTGGTCAATGGCTCAATGTCCAGCTGGAGACCTGTAACAAGTGGTGTCCCTCAGGGATTGGTGTTGGGACAGGTCTTGTTCAACATCTTTGTTGCTGACATGGACAGTGGGATTGTGTGCGCCCTCAGCAAGTTTGTTGATGACACCAAGCTGTGTGGTTCAGTTGATACGCTGGAGGGAAGGAATGCCATCCAGAGGGACCTTGACATGCTTGTGAGGTGGGCTGATGCCAACCTCATGAAGTTTAACCATGCCAAGTGCAAGGTCCTACACCTGGGTCGGAGCAATCCCAGGCACAGCTACAGGCTGGGCAGAGAAGAGATTCAGAGCAGCCCTGCAGAGAAGGACTTGGGGGTGCTGGTCGATGAGAAAATGAACATGAGCCGGCAGTGTGCGCTTGCAGCCCAGAAAGCCAACCGTATCCTGGGCTGCATCAAAAGGAGCGTGACCAGCAGGTCGAAGGAGGTGATCCTGCCCCTCTACTCTGCTCTCGTGAGACATCACTTGGAGTATTGTGTGCAGTTGTGGTGTCCTCAACGTAAAAAGGACATGGAACTGTTGGAACAAGTCTAGAGGAGGTCTACGAGAATGATCAGGGGACTGGAGCACCTCCTGTATGAAGATAGGCTGAGAAAGTTGGGACTGTTCAGCCTGGAGAAGAGAAGGCTGCATGGAGACCTCATAGCAGTCTTCCAGTATCTGAAGGGGGCCTATAGGGATGCTGGGGATGGACTCTTCATTAGGGACTGTAGTGATAGGACAAGGCGTAATGGGTTAAAACTTAAACAGGGGAAGTTTAGATGGGATATAAGGAGGAAATTCTTTCCTGTTTGGGTGGTGAGGCACTGGAATGGGTTGCCCAAGGAGGTTGTGAATGCTCCATCCCTGTCAGTGTTCAAGGCCAGGTTGGATGAGGCCTTGGGTGATATGGTTTAGAGCCAGGTGTCCCTGCCCATGGCAGGGGGGTTGGAACTTGATGATCTTAAGGTCCTTTCCAACCCTAACTATTCTATGATTCTATGAAATGACAATCCTTGAAGAGTGCAAAGTCTGTCAGTTCAGCCATCTGATTTGACAGTGCCATCAAGACTGAAATTCATGTTTGCAATATTAGCAGTGAAGTTGTCTATGTGCATTAGGGGTATTTATGCTCTTAGATTCGTATATGTGTGGGACCAAAGAGCAGAAAATAGATTTTGAGATGGGTTTCAGGACTGAGGACTTCCTTGTTGTGTTTCTTCAGAAGGCAAAACATAGATCTACATGTTCCTAATTATAACAGTCTCCCAAAGAGCTCAGATCTAAGAGGAAGCATCTTCCCAGCCATTGATGCCTAGCTAAGAAAATAAAAAGTCTTTCACATTGGACTTAGATTAGTATATGGAATTGATGGAATTGGTGGAATTGGCGTGCAGCAGGTTCTACAGGAACAGTTCCTCACAGGCTCAAGATTTCCTATGCTTAAAAACACTAATAGCAACAAAGTCAACAAAGTGATCTTACATGTAATCCGTAGCAGCTCTTTGGAATCTCTGAGGACAAAAAAGCATACATGTTAACAGTCACCATTATAAAGAATTACTAAAAACAGAATTCAAAATGAAGTTTTGACACAGAAACAGTGAAGAACACAAGGATAACTTTTCGTATTTGAAAGAAGCTTTCACTTTCCACCAACATGTCATAAATTCATCATGGACAACCCAAATAACGAGTTGCTTAGCAGACCTATCTTCCCAACATTTAAAGTTGACCATTACAGTTAACCTAAGCCCAGACTGCTTTCACTCCGAACGTCCTTCCTCAGGCAATGGACAGGTTTTCTCAGCTGAGCTCTTGGATGTGTTGTTTTCATGGGCCATGTGTGTCTTACTTGAGAACCGTTTGCCTCACCTCAAAGAATCAAAGCTACCCTTGATGTACCTTCAGTGAAATTATGCCCTAGCCATTTTTGGTTCATAGACCACATGCTCTTCCATGATGGGGAATAAATTCCTGTTTCTCAAATGTTCCCACTGACTTATTTCAAATTTTTGCCATGAGTCAGCCTTCTTTTTTTGTCATTCATAGCTGACGCAGGCTCTCCACTGCAAACAAAGATGTTCTTCTGAAGCCTCAAATAGCCACAAGCTTAGCCCCTGATGAAAAAATGAAAGAAAAAAAAAATATAGTGTGGCTTAAAAATAAACCCAGGAATAAAACTAGTGATCAGAGAGCTGATCCAGCTAAAACAAAGTGTTGGAGGATGGGAGATTGTAAGGGCTGTAATTCAGGCTGTTCCTAAGACTGAGTCCACACACGTCACAACATAGACAACTTGTTTAATGAAAGCTGGATTAGCCCTTTCAGTTCTATTTGCTTTATTATGGCTGCCTTTAGTTAAATGACACAGCCTTAGGTCTTCAACCAAACTATAAAAGGTCATTAATCAATGCAGAGTGGAACCAGCAACTTGGAACTAAACAATTCCATATCCCCAGCCATCAACTTCTAGTGTCAACTGGAATGAAAGTTAGAGGACATTTTTCAAAAACACCTACAGAATCTATTTCTTTTTTATTGGCTGAGAAGTAGTTGTATGCACAAGCAGGCACTGAGTCAATTATTTTACATTGCTGTCTGTCTCATTTCTATAAACTGATTTAGCTGATCTCCCCAGCAGACCTTGTTACAAACCTTTCACAACATTAAGATTTCATAGAAATATTATTGGACCCCCAGCTGTTTCTATGGCTTAAATACAAAAATCTAATATACAGTTTCTTTTTCATTAATAAATTCAGAGAAGGGATGTCTGACTGTGGTAATGGAAGGAGCACTTGTTCTCCATATGCTCTATGCTCATAACCTGCATAAATTACTACACATGATTTTAGTCCACTTGTGGGAATATGAAGCCTGATTCTTAAATACTCACATCTGTAGCTAAAGCTGAGGTCAGCAAGAGCTATAGGTGTCAACAAGAGAAAAGAAAAGCTAATCGTCAAGGATCTAGCTCTGACTCCATGTGTTGCCACAAACTGTCAGTGTTGCCTAGGACCGGTCAGACACGGTATATTGTGCCTGCTCCTTGTAGGCATTGTAATAGCTTCTCTCCACTGACTGCACATGAAGCCAAGGTGAAGTGCCTGAGGGTAGGGCTCTGAATCTGCCCTTGTTCCCGTGGCCTTGGATGTCACAGTAGGCAGAGGGGCTAGCTTAGACATACATATGCAGCCATCAGACTAAGTATGGTTCTGAGGTACCCTGTATCTTAGTCCATCAATGGGGATAGTAAGTGCCTGTCAGCAACACAAATATGACCAGAAGTAGGAGACACAAAGATACACAAAACAATACCTTTGAACCAAGACACCTAAGAAGTTTGGTGCTGCTCAGCATTGTGCAACCTACCTGCTCCCTGTGCCACAAACGGCACTGGGGCACAACCCAGCATCCATCCAGGAGCTGCAGCAGAGGTGTTCTCTGCAGGCTGCTGCCTCCTCAGCTCCACTTTCAATCTGGGCCAGAGCCAAGTTCCCAGACCTACATGTCTGACTCCATCTGTGGTCTCTCACAGAGAGGTATGCTTGCAGCTGACAGTTAAATCTAGCTCTGACCCTGACAGGGGTCTCGGTGACACTGGGACTGAGCTTGCTTGTTCAAGGTGGTGTTGTCCTACTCCAGATATAACTTGTTTGCTTTATTTCCCCTTCTTCCCTGCATGATCAGGAAACATTTATTTCATAAATATCTATAAGAAGCTTAAAATAAGCCTTCTTTTCTGCCACAAATTCATCCTATTATGTTTATAGCAAAGCAATTCCTGGCTGGGATGCAGCACTTGAATAGACGGGTATTAATTAAATACGTGATTTAAAGCAAATGGAATTCTGCCCAAGCCTCCATAAAGAAATTACAGTCTGTTTTAATACATTCATGCATTTCTTTTCCCTCCATGTATATTCTGACAACCAGCAGACACTGACGATGCTCTGCACTTTGCTCTAATATTTTACAAATACTGGCATGATGTCTTGCAGCAGATCTCCAGGAAATATATTAATTTTAGCCTCAGTTTATAGCTGAGAAACCTGAGGTACAAAAAGGTTAACTGAGATTTGTTCAAGACTGTCATGGAAACCAGGACAAAGATCATAAGAAAAGATTGTGAACATCTTTTCACTCACTAGCATTTTGTTATCTCCTGTCTACCCCATACTACTTCAGCAAGGTTTGATTTATGATAGTTAAATTAAGAGAGTTAATACATGCAGGCAGCATGAATCCACTTCAAAAACATGTTTTGCAGATCAGAGGAATTCATTGCCCTTGATAAAATTTAACTTGCTCTTTAATTCAAATGTAGAAATTGTGATAGCCAGAGAAAAGATACAATCTCTAGTCTACCAGCCTTCATTAACAGTAACTCAAATACAAATCTCTTCCAAAAGATAACAAAGTAAACCTGTTATGTATAGCTTTATTTTCCTTCTCAGAAGTGAGAACTGATAATGAGCAGTGTAATGGCATTACTGTGACTTAGTTTTCAGAGCTCCTATCATTGGTTCTACACTGGCTGCTTAAGTATTTGAAGCCAATTTCCTTTCCACAAACTTAAGACACACTGCTTCAGGTTCATGCCTTTGTCAACTACAGAGCTATGTAGGAGTGCATCAGCACAACTAATATCTGGCTGCTCAATTCTACAGTGGGTGACAAACTTAATTGTAAAAGCTAAGGACGAGAAATGTTCCAATGGAATGTATGTCCTATCTACCCTCTTTTTTCTGAAAGCAGACTTTGTATTACCCATGCAAAATTATGCAATAGAAATTACTAAATCCATGTTTTAGGGCCAGTTACCTTGCAAACTCCATCATTAGTACAGATCTGGTTTTGAGCTATATACTCCAACTCCTTGTGCAGTTCAAAGATACTCCAAAAATAGAACTTCGTAATGTTAGGTAGTTTACAAGTTAAAAATGTTGCTGTAAAAAAAATTGTTCCTGTTAACTCTTCTTAAATCTCCTTAGAAAGCAGTCTTCCCATCTTTCAAACTTCCAGCTTAAGCTTAGAGCCTTTCCATGCTTGATCTCTTAGACTGACCAAGTTTTGCCTGATTGTCTCACACAGTATTTCTTCATAAACCAGTGCCTACTTTGCCTCTGTGCTTTTCCATTGGTTCTTTCCTACAGAGTGGCAGCTGTCAGGTAGCTCAGGGCTGGGTGCTCCAGGCTCATCCCACAGACCACATACATTGCAGATTTGCATCTTGTTTATCACTCCATAAGTGTCATTTGTGGTTTTGATAGAGCAAAAAGTGGAGATCCTACCACAAAATATGTCTTTGGCATTTTGTCTGAGTAAAGGTCTTTCTGAAAGGTAAATAATAAACAGGTTTTCTACACGAGATTACAGTTTGTCTATATAAATCAGCTATGCACCCAACTTTCCCTGTGGGTAGTGGGGCATGCCTTTCAAATGTAGAACAGTCAGAGAACTGGGAGCTTACAGTTCCCCATGAGTCCTGCCTCTTACTTTTCCTAGTGTGCAGGTTAAAAGAAGCCACCAATAATGCCAACCAGTTTGTGGGGATGAGGTGGGTTTACAAACTCTTTTGTTGTTTTTTTTTAATTCTTTTAATGAATATTATTCTTACTAACTGCTCCTAGTATATTTAGCAGGCAGGTTACATATTTTTAGATTGTAGGCTATTCTTGGAGGCATAAGTTGCTGTTATTTAAGTTTGCACAGAACTTGGAAAAGCTCAGTGAGACACCATAATGCTGTCTGTATTGTCCCACTGGGGAGGATTCAATTACTAATGCCACTGCCTACTCTGTACATGTGAATATCTGAACTTGTACCCCTAAGCTCTTTTTATAGCCAGGGATGAATTCATCAATATCGTCAGTGAAGTTTGTCATGAGTCATCTCAACCTAAAACAGACACCCACATCTAGCCAGATTAACGAGCTGCGTCGACTAAGTCCCTGTTGTCTATAATGAAAGCTAGACACGAGACCCATCTGTGGCTATGGCTAGATGTAGCTGTAGATGCATCCTACTTGAACATAGATCTGTATCTTGTAGTTGTACTCAGGTATCTGTTGGAGACAGGTGTATTGACAAAGACCGTGAATTTGCCTTCCTGATTCTTTCTGATAAATTAGGAATTCTGATGCCTTCCTCAGCAATCAGATCCACCAGTTGATTGCTTTCAACTTGAAGGGGAAATGTTAGTTTAAAACAGCTGTAGATCTAACCCATTCAGTTCATAGCCTGAGTATCAAGGATTTCAACCACAGCCAATTTTTCAGGCAGAATTTGTCATGTAGTATGAATTGCAACCAAACTACAGAACTCCTTTCTTAAAATGGCTTGATATACATGGAGTCAATCAAGGCTGACTTCAGTGCGCCATGACTCTTTCAGCAGTGCCAAGATAGGTGCTACCACAGACGCAGGTGTTCCTGAGCACTCCTATCCCTAGTTTTAAATAAAACTTGGGACCTATTGGGAACCATGGCCAAACTTGGACTGGTATACATGGGTCTCAGAATGTTTAAAAATTTGTTTTTTCATATGGGTCTGAAAAATAAAATTAGTGCTATTTGCACTTTGCTTTGAGATATGAAACCATGTTCTCAGATCACCTCATCCTACCATCAACCGAAAGTGAATAAAGACCTGCCGTGAGCTGCCAATTTGCAAATTAAACCAGGCAACATAAGTTACGTTACTGAACTGAATTTTTTTCTGACAGAAGTAGACTGATTTGTCCTGCAGCAGAGGGAATGATTAATTTTGTGTTCTACTCGCTCTGATCTTGGAAGAGGAGAGAACTTTCTAATTCAGCAGTGAGTAAAAGGAGCGAAAAGAAGAACAGACTATTGCACAGGAAGTTGAACATGGCCCCTGTTCTTCCTGTGAGAAGAGAACTGAGCTGCCTTAGGGCTGGCTGAGAGCAAAAGGGGCTCTGTGCCACTGCTCTCAAGTTGGGCAGAGAGCAGGAGATTTCCTACCCACTGAAATCTGGTCTGAGCAGCCCACAGCACGCTCTTCAGCACACCACCAGCTGGGAATTCCCTGTCAGAAAAATATTTCAGTTTGCTGGATGTTTGTCTTTGACTGGTAGAAAATCAAAATGATCTGGGGTCAGTTAATTCTGTTGAAGAGTTTTCACACATTTCACTTCTAAGTGAGTCTACAGGACATTTCATTCAATTTCTCTTTGAGTCCACTGTTGCTCAGGAGTCAGACTATAGTATTCTCCATCCCTTAACCTCTTTGTCTGGTCTGAATTAATTGGGTACACTTCCTTAATGCCAGGCCAGTTTTCTTCTGACCAGGCCCTGGTATGCATCACTGATCATATATACTGGAGAGGGAACTGAATGCACAGGGGTGAAGTTGGCTTCTGACATACACTGCACTTGCAGGAGTAGTAAACACGAGAAAGCAGCTGAGCTGCCCGAAATGAAGCGCTTTGGTTAGCACAGAAAACCACAATGAAATGCTCTGATTTCATGAATGCCAATTTTTTAAAAAATGTAAGGGTTTTTTAACTGTTTCCCTGACCCCTACTTTCTGACATGAAATGACACAAAGGCATTTCCGGCAGCAGGGAAATTGCAGCCCTGAACTAACTGAGGTATAACAAATAAGTTACAGCACCAGAAGGAGACCATGTCTCCTATGTGGGTTTTAATGAGGCATATGAGTCTTCGATTTATAACAAATTTACTCTAAAACTTAACACAACTGTTTTAACAAAGCTACAGCAAATTCCCCTACATGTTTCCAAATCTTCTCATAATATCTGAAGGCAGTAAGAGGTCCTATCCACCCTGCAGCTTTGGTTCAGCCCTGGGGTGGCTTTGCCCTGCTGTTAGTATGTCTAGATCTGTCATTGAATCTTGCTGTGTACTGTCCAAGGGATGACCCTCAGGTGAGGCCCAGAAGGGACACAACTCCTGCATGAGTGTTACAAGGCTGTTGTAAGTGGAAAATAAAGCAGAACAGCTAAAAGCACCTTTGGAGATTGTGAATTCTTGAACAATTGCCTGTTGTAGCAAAGTAGTATCTTTCTTCTCTCCAAATTTATGCATGGCTGCTCATCAGCTCACCAGTAGAAAAAGAAAGCTTTTAAACTGGCAAAGCAGAGAAAGAAGCTTCCTGGTCTATCTGCAAAAATGCATCCTGTCTGCAGGCCAAAGGCTTAATGTGTGCATTTAGTGGTTGGCCTGAGGCCCAAGGTATATTTAAACTCAGAGCACATACTTCCTCACACGGAAGAAGCATAGTAGTGCCTTTTGGAATTTACGGGAGAATCAGGAATTTGTAACAAACAGTACCAGCATTCTGCATTTCCTACTCAGTTTAGGCAAAACTTTATATAGAAGGAACTAAAACACTTTTCCCAAAGACCCATTCCTAGAAATTACAAAAAAGCTGCTACAAGCTGGGGCAGAGCTCTGAGGATTTATGGAGAGCTGTGATAAGACCTCTGCAAAAAGGACATTACACATAAAACACATACTGTTTTGGGGGGGTTATGCAGCTTAAAGTTAACCAGGTAACATCTTGTACCTGTTATTAGTGCAGAGAACTTCCCAGTCACTAAGCAGCCCATTCTGAACATGACCTGTGGACAGCTGATACCAAACACACCATCCATTGCTGTTACCTCCAATTTGAATATTGACACATCAACTGTATCATAAACCCTGTTCCTGATACATGGGGAAGGACCAGTGAGGGATAGCATTTCAGTAGGAGTGCTGTACCTGGGTTTCCCTGAGCCATGGAGTCATAGATGAGTTTGCAGGCCTTCAGCAATATGGCAATCTTCTTTTCTGGGGAGTAGGCCTTGTGCATGGTTGTGAACTTTTGAAGGATCTTTTCAAGCACAATGGTTTCGGGCACGCTGGTCGTGATGCCTAGGTCAGTGGTAGTTGTGTTTTGTATCACAAATTGGTTCTCTTTTAGCTGCTGTAAGGATCCATCTTTGTTGTGGATTTCTTTTAAGTAAGAATCAATGGCTTCTTTTAAAGGTTTCAAAACACATTTGTATAATGCCGTCTCAGCAATCACTTCTGCACAGAGAAGGGAGAACACAAAATCCATGATAAGTAATCAATACAACAGTGCAGGTGCAAGTAAAACTCCTAAGAAAGCATGTGGCTCATGCACTATTGCCTAGCTGTGAGCAGGGAGCAGAAATTACATCCCAGAAAGTAAATGTTTCATTACCAGCACCCTCCAGAAGCCCTGGATAGCGTTGAGATGAACACCAGGGCACATTTTCTGTGTGAGAACTCATGCTACCAGCACTGTCAGGCAGCAGAAAAAGCAACTCTGGGAGAAGATGAGGAACCTCATCTTACTGTGCTTCTTTTCACAGCCCTGCCCTTACAAATGCCCAGGTGGGATTCATTTCATGTCCCCCTGACACCTCCCTCTGATCTGTTTGAGATAATCACTTTGGGATGAAAACAATTTCATCTTCAAAGTGCCCCTTTCTCTGCAGTGAATGAAAAGCAGCTGTAGCCACCCACTCAGTGGCAGACATGCACAGCTGGTAACAAGTTTCTCATCCTTACTGTTCAAGTGTCTTTAACTTATTGATACTTATGTCACCTCTTAAGCCACCTGTGGACGAGGAAAGAGTCTGTGTGGGTTGAATGTTTGCTTTATATTCAGCAGGAGACAAAAGCAAGCATGAGAGACAGTGAGAAAGTCTGTTGTCTCACTCCTAGAACCCAGAGCTAGGAGGATTGCAGGGAATCCTCCTTTAACCCCAGACTCAGGTGAAAAGGTCACTGGCAAGGGAGTTCATCCACTCAGTCAGCAAGGAATGAAACAGAGGGCAGTAACATTTATGTATACAAAATACAACTATTTTAAAGGATCCAGAGAAACGGTTGGCTTGAAGCACTACAAATTCAAATTGTAGCATGACAAATTCCCTGTCCTCCACAAGGAAAGGTAGTCTCCCTAGGCTGACTGGGCCATATCATCCTGTTAAGGAACCACCAGTGAACAGAGCTAGAGGTAACCAGGCATGTCCGTGTGAAGGTGGGAGGGATCCTTGCACACACACACAGCTCTGCCAAGCAGAACAAGGACACTTCTTTCTGCCTTCTCTCCACATTCCCTAATCAAGATTAAAGGCTGACTTCTCTATGCTGACAGCCCCTTTGCTTTGAAGAGAGGGGTTACTAGGACAAAAAGGGCAGGTGTTACACGAGATGCTTGAGAAGTGAAACTGTACCTCCCTTCTCCTAGGCATGGCAATGGGCTGGGAGCGGGTCTCTTCTGCTGGGGAGACTGCAGGGTCATGTGAAGCCTTAGTTGTGTGAGAAAGAAGTCAGCAGGGCCTGCTGAGACTGACAGCCTCTGGATCCTGGCTCACCCAGGGTAGCTGGGTCCCACCTAATACTGGAACTGCAGGATCCCCTGGAATCCCTGGTCACTTCTGTAGTTGGTCATGTTCTGTGTTGGGGGTTTTCCGGCTCCCAGCTTGCCTTAAGCCTGTTTAGGGATCTCATAAATAGCTCTGTTTCTCAGGTCCTCAGGAAACAATTTTAAATCGAAAGAACATATAAATGCATGCATGCCTGCTTTTTCTGGCTGTACGGCTTTGACTGTCTCGGTTTTTGCTCTCGTGAGACCTCACCTGGAGTATTGTGTGCAGTTCTGGTGTCCTCAACATAAAAGGGACATGGAACTGTTGGAACAAGTCCAGAGGAGGGGCACGAGGATGATCAGGGGACTGAAGCACCTCCCGTGTGAAGATCGGCTGAGAAAGCTGGGGCTGTTCAGCCTGGAGAAGAGAAGGCTGCGTGGAGACCTCATAGCAGCCTTCCAGTATCTGAAGGGGGCCTATAGGGATGCTAGGAAGGGACTCTTCATTAGGGACTGTAGTGACAGGACAAGGGGTAATGGGTTAAAACTTAAACAGGGGAAGTTTAGATTGGATATAAGGAGGAAATTCTTTCCTGTTAGGGTAAGGCACTGGAATAGGTTGCCCAACAAGGTTGTGAATGCTCCATATCCTTGGCAGTTTTCAAGGCCAGTTTGGATGAAGCCTTGGGTGATATGGTTTAGTGGGAGGTGTCCCTGCCCATGGCTGGAGGGTTGGAACTTGATGATCTTAAGGTCCTTTCCAACCCTAACTATTCTATGATTCTATGATTCTATGACTGGGATAAAAAAATCTTTGTATATTCCTTCATGAATGTACATTAAACTGGCCAGTCCACTTAGAAAGGAGGGCAGTAGCACATTACTCCCTCACAGAATATTGAATGAAAAGCAACAAAACACCCCTAAACAGCCAAAAATATTAATTTTCCTCCCCAAAGGTAAATTACGTCTGTGGCAACGAGAGGCAAATGCTGTATTTTGGAGCCAGCAGTGGTCTTGCAGCAGGCAGCAATTTGTGCCTCTGAGCTCTGAGGAGCACAGAGTGGGATCAAGTGATTCCTTCAATCTGCCACTCAAAACGATTGTAGTCTTGTCCCTTCTTGTGAGACAGTGACTGACCCCAGATCTGGCTGCCACATACAAGGAGTTCTCCATCCTCACTGCAGAGCATGAAGCAGTAGACATGGAAGGCCATGTGGAACACAGCTGTGCAGGAGGACATTGACCTTTTGTGTTTCCAGTGAACACAGCTCTCAGTGTGTGTGCATGTGCGTACAGGTATATACACAGAGACTCATATTTATATGTGTATATATGCATATATACATACATACATGTCTCACACACAAACATACACCTCTTCTTAAACTCTTCCCTTTAAAATACTGTTTTTTTTATGAGGGATTTTCCCCCCTTACTGGTCTCCCAGTTTTTAGAGCTGCTCCTCCAAGTGCTGGCAACCACAGAGTAGACTTCTTTTCACACCCCTCAGCTTTTAAGAGATGGTTTATAATTCTGTAAAGCAGAACCTGTGTCTGCATGATTCTGTCTTCTTCCTCACTTTCCCAAATTCCGCCCAAGGATGGGTAAAGCACAGTCACCTACCTAACTGTTCCTCAGTGTGGGAGCCTGGGTCTACCAGAGATTTCAACTCAGTGCTTTGCACTAAGTAACTCTTCAGCTGTGTCATCATCATCCGGATTTCTTGTAGCATCTCTGTGCTGGAGCTCTGCTTTGCCATCATCTCTAAACTGTACACTCTGTAGTCCTGCACCAGGTTGCCAAAGTATGAGTCCTTGTCCTGTGCCAGCTCCACAATCTTCTTCTGCAGCTTCCTGTCACTAGACAAAAAGACTGTGAAGACATTAGACAGGCTCACAAAGGACAGCCTGTTCTTGGCCTTGTCCAAGATCATGGAGCGTGTCTTTTTACCAGATGAACTACTTGGCATCTCCAGGTCATCTTCTGTGCTGCTGGTGGAGTAGGAGTCTGGTTCAGATGCTGATGTCTGAGCCACAGTGCTGCCTCCTGGGCCTTCCAGGGAGGAGTGAGCATCTTTCAGTTCAGCTGAGTTGACAGATTTGTGGCTATGTCCCAGTTCAGTCTTGATGTGTGTACAAGTGGCACCACCTGACACTGTAGCAGAGCTGCTCTTGCACAAATCCTGCACAATGGCCATGGTTGTGGTCATCTCTGCCACTGTTCTTTGCTTTGACTGGCAGGAGCTGGGGACTCTCGGTACCTGGGAAAGCCTCTTCCTTCTTGGTGGTGGGATAGGAGGTGACTTTCCTATGGCATTGCTTTGAATTCCAGACATGTTCTTCATCTCTTCAGGTTCAGGCTTTGTCTCCTGAAATTGTGATAGAGCCACCTCAGGAACTTCCCCAGGCATTTCTACAGCCTTTTGGCGCAGTGACCTTTTATCTCTGCTGTCCGTACTCCCATGTTGGTTTTCTTCTGTCCGTTCACTTTTCAGCGTTTCACAACTTCCAGGGTTTCCCACACAGCTCTCCTCTGAGGTCCTCTCAGAGAGCCGCTTCCGTGGGGGAACAGAGGGCTGGGAGCCCTTCTTGGGGCTCACTGCCAAAGGCTCCCTGACTGAGCAGCTCTGCTTCCCTTCTTTATTGTCACCGCCTTCAATTCTCATTTCCTTCATGGTCTTTTCTAGTGGCTGAAGGAGCAGCTCGTTTTCTTCACAGGCAGTGGTGGGATCCTGCAGGGGCTTCAGAGGAGATTTCTGAATGACAGCATGAGAAGGTGGAGGCGGAGGGGGGCGGCGGGGAGACCTCCTTTCAGTGAGCATGGTGGCGGGGGGGAGATCAGCACTCACAGCACGGCTTTTAGAAGAAGGTACATCTGGTGAAAAAGGATTACTGTACTCTTCTATAAAAATAGGATTCACGAACCACAGCCTGTCATTTCCTATTGACAGCTCAATTTCACATGAGCAGTGGTTTGTGCTGCTTGCAAAACACTGGGTAGATTTTAAACTGTCTGTCTGAACAGTGCTGAGAGCAGAGTGTTTTGCAGGGTGGGATAACTCCTCTCTTCTTCTGTGGTTTAAGGAGGAATCCCAGAAATCTGTCAAAAAAAAATAAAATGCTCTGAGAGAATTTTAGCTGCTAAAAGCACGTAGAAGGCCTACTTTTTGTTAAAAGAAATGGTACAAAAGCTTTCACACCTCTGCACAAAACAATGTGAAGAAAGGATTGCCTGTTTTAAGTGTGTGAGATCCTTCCAATGAGGGGACAAGCTCAGAAGCTTCACCAGAAACCTCTCTTTTTTTGCCACTTTTAGGACATTCATCTAGTGAGAACTGTTAATGCTGGGCAGCAAGGTGCAAGTAACAAATACAAATGACTGTAAAAGAGGGTCTATGGCTTGTTCAGTAATCATAGAATCATAGAATGGTTAGGGTTGGAAAGGACATTAAGATTATCAAGCTCCAACTCCCCTGCCATGGACAGGGACACCTCGCTCTAAACCGTACCACCCAAGGCCTCATCCAACCTGGCCTTGAACACTGCCAGGGATGGAGCATTCACAACCTCCCTGGGCAACCCATTCCAGTGCCTCACCACCCTAACAGGAAAGAATTTCCTCCTTATATCCAATCTAAACTTCCCCTGTTGAAGTTTTAACCCATTACCCCTTGTCCTGTCACTACAGTCCCTAATGAAGAGTCCATCCCCAGCATCCCTATATGCCCCCTTCAGATACTGGAAGGCTGCTATGAGGTCTCCACGCAGCCTTCTCTTCTCCAGGCTGAACAGCCCCAACTTTCTCAGCCTGTCTTCGTACGGGAGGTGCTCCAGTCCCCTGATCATCCTCGTGCCCCTCCTCTGGACTTGTTCCAACAGTTCCATGTCCTTTTTATGTTGAGGACACCAGAACTGCACACAATACTCCAAGTGAGGTCTCACAAGAGCAGAATAAAGGGGCAGGATCACCTCCTTCGACCTGCTGGTCACGCTCCTTTTGATGCAACCCAGGATACGGTTGGCTTTCTGGGCTGCAAGCGCCCAGAAATCACTGTCCTCTAAATGCAAATAGCTGTGGATACCTGAGGTGAGGGTGTGAAGCCCCCACGTGACCTCCTGTCCCCCTATTTCTGACTGTGGGAAGGTGCAGGGCTGAGATATATAGCCTGGATCCAATGTACACCAGAGGCAGGAGAGATATCAGATGAAGATGACACAGCAAGCTCATGTGTCAGTCTGTCTATGGAGGTCTGCTACTGTTTTGCAGTACAACCAGTCTAGAAACATATGATTTTAGATACCTTCCACAGGTTAAAATTATCATTAAAGACTGTAGCTCTGGATGGCAATTATCCATAACCATGACACTGCCTGCCTGCAGGTGTAAGAGGGGAAAAGATGGTGCAAAAGACTGTGTACACAGGAATGTTGTATGCTGAAGGATTAAAGAATAGTTAAGCACTCCAGTGCCATCAGCTGTGACTGGAAAAAGAAGATGCAAGAGTCATTTGTGTATGTCACAAACCTCTTACTAGAATATCTTAGAATAGCTCATTTAAAAATTTACAAAGCACTTGTTCATATTTTGAATAGATTCAGCATCAAATATAAACTTCTTCCCTTTCCCTGATATGAGTTTTTAAAACCTGCTTGCCTTACCAGTGTGATTGTTTTCTATCATTTTTAGATCTGCTAATCCAGGGTCCACTACTTGAAGCATCAGGAAACAGGATCCTGCAAACTCCATATGTTCTGACCAAGGAAAAGGATATAAACCTCTGAGGGTATTCCCTGGGTGAGGACTGATGTCCACAGAGTTAGGGACAAGGGGAAGATGGGAAATCCTGGAAATACAAGGATGCAGATAACTAAATAACTATTTCAGCATGCTTGGTCCCTGGAACACAAAGCTGACACTGATGGCACACTCTTCTGGGTGGACACAGGACGCAAATGGGGCTGCCACAGCACATGAACCAGGCCCTCTGCTTGGTTCCAAACCTGTCTTACTGCAAAAATATTACCTGCTGGGTCAAGAGAGGATGAATCGGGCTGCACATGTGTGGGATGACCCTCAGTGCTGAGCACATGGTGCAGATCTCAGAAGGGTGCCTTTAGCTGTGCCTCACCAGGACTCCATTCTCCTGTTGGCTGCACAGCGTAGCCCCAGACCATCACAGGGAAGGCGGACAGGGCTGAGCTGGCCAGAGCTCTGGACAGCGTCTGCCTGTGTTTTTTCCTAAAAACTAGCATCCCAGAAGAGCTCAAAGAGACTTCCAGTTAGGGAGGTCATAGCAGAACTCAGAGCAAAGGAACTCTCAGTTAAAGCCAGTGCAGAACTCAGGCATGAAATATTATCAGATAAAACCTCTCCCTTGCCTACTGCATCTCCAAAGGCAAGCCACTTCTTCCTGTTTTGCTCCCCGGTGTAGTTGTGATTTTTGATGACTTCCTGCCTACAGCCAGCTCCCTGCCATTGCTGGAAAAGCCATCTTCTTTCTGCTGCTGCCACGACTTGCTCTCTGCAGGACTCTGCCTTGCCCCCTCGGTGCCCTGAATCCATTGCTGGCCTTGCCTCCCTCTGCCAGCAATGTGGTCCCCAGGGTCACAGCCAGCTGCCCCAGGGAGAGGGACTATTCCCTTCCCTGCAGTGGGTGCAAATACCGCAGGCAGGGCAGGACAGGCAGGGTAACTCCTCACTGCCCTCCTGCTCCCTCTAACCAAGCATTTCCGTAACGCAGGCACAGAGTAAGCCATGCACAGGTGAACTAAAAGAATGTTCATTCCCATCAGGTTAAAATTGTCAATTTAGCCTTCTGCAGCCTAGGCTAGTGTCCATGGCTAATTCAGCTTTATAAGCATGTCAGCAGGTTTTCTTTTTTTTCAGGGAGGCTAAGGTTAGAATAGGTTTATTCCCTAATTTCCTACTACGAGAGGGAACAGAACAAAGAAGCTTAAAATAAAAGTGTTGCCAGGAACAACAGCACTCTTGACAACAGAATTCTGCTGTAGACATGTGGTTGCAACTGCACATAATAGCATCACGCTGCTAACCCCCTCATGTCTGAGGCTGTGTAGGGTAAAATTTCCTTTAGAAAGGAAATTGTAGTCCAACTCTACTGGGTATCAGAACTCCAGTTCTACTGTCCTGTATCCAGGACAGTGGAAGTTGCTTGTTTAAGTCTGAAAATAGTCTGTGGAGCCTCATGGGCTGAGAAAATTGTGAGTAAACCAATCTACAAAAGGGAAGTTGGTTATTTTTCTCAGTAATGGTCAGGATAAGACACTGTGGTGAAAACGTAATGCTCCACTCAGACTGTGAAGGACCAGATGAGGTGGTCATACCAAGGGTTACATAGCTGCTTCAGAGAGGGTGTTTCTCAATGCAGCCACAGCTTCATACAGCAGGAAAGGCAGTTTGATCGTTTCCCATTGCTATTCTGGCTCTTCCCTTAGCTTATACTCTGGGAGGGATAATTAAGCAGTCCTTTGGGACTTGGTATGTGTTCTTTGTGCAATAGTAATTCTTCTGCTAAAATGCCTTCTATACCAGCAAGGTCAGGACCAGAGGGCTTGCAGTACATCCTCTTTGACAATATACATAACAGCCAGATAATCTGTGGGACAAGCCAGCTTGTTGGTAGACATCTTACTTCTATCCCCTCAAAAAATGTATCACTTTGAAATACATAAAAGCAACCTACCAATTTCAAACAATGCTAGCTTTCCTTCGGGAGTGCCACTTCAGGCAGCACTTCCTGTTTGTCTACTCATTCGTACCCATGAAATTTTGTTCCAGGAAGCAGTAAACAGTATTACACATCACTTAAGACTGCTTGACTTTACTGAGACAGGATGGCACTCCAAGAAGCTAGGATCAGTTCCCAGGAAATCTTTACAGAACAGCACGTTTTCTTGTGTTGTCAGAAATCTTCCTGGCATGGAATGTACTGTGATAAGCAAACCTCCAAGCATCACCAGTGTACAGGAGGAAAGAAAGAAGACTACAACCAACATTGCTTTGGTTCTTGTGCTTTAGTTAATCCTTCCATTCAGAAGGTGTTGGAGACTGAGTCAGGATCAACTCTAATGGCTTAAATTAGGGTGAGGGATGGAGCATTATGACACACTTCTTACATTTTAATCCAAATTTTTACACTTTTAACTAAAATTAATAGTAAGTTTGCATCTTGCTATCTCGAGTTGCAAAGTGCTTTTCTTTAAACAGTAAGTGCTGGCTAGACACCCGTACCCAAGGACGCTTTGACAAACAGGAACATACTCAAAATAGAGGATGCTGAAAGTGTTGGAGGCAAATTGTTAGTCAAATTTAACAAAGCTTCTTGAACTGAAACCAGCAGGGTTTTCCCATGCCTTCTGGGAGGTATAATGCAGAAGATCCAAAAATAGATCCCTAAATCCTCATGGTGCTTTAGTGAGTATCTCTAAGTGAACTAAACTCAGCTTTCACCATTGTTTGGCTGTTTTCAACAGCTGAGAAAAAACTGAAAAGCAAACTAGTGTGAGAGTGGCTAACTGTAATACCTGTCTCAAGCAGAGTGTGTTAAATAGGAAGGAACAGGAAGGTGACCTCCTTTAGTTAAAAGAGCTGCATTTCCAACTCTGTAACTTTACACATCTGATCTAAAATTTGCTCGTTTGGTGTTCTCACTAAAAATACCATTCCTTTATTATCTAATTAGTGTGAGGCAAGAGAACATGCCGGGACACTACAGAGTCCTCTACCAATTAGAAATCCTGCAAGAGAAAATAGAAATATCAAAATTCAAAAATGTCACTTCCATCAGCATTGCCTCCACACATCAGAAGGGGAAATTGCAAAGCTGTTTTCCTTTTTACATATACTTAGATGCCAGCTACTTCCAGTTTATGTAAGTTATCATGAGAGGCTGTGTCGTGCTTCAGTTGCTGAAAGCCCAGCTTACACAGTGAAACTGTAGGTCCCACCCATGCACAAAAGTCCTAGTGGAGGTTTTTTTCCAAAGGGGCAAGCGTCAGTTTTCAGTGCGCTTCTATAAACATAAAGATCATGAACATCTTCTCTCTTGCATTCAGGCCTCCTTGTCTATTCTGAAGACAGCAGTTCATCTATCCTCCAGTTATGAAGCACCATGGCTCTCTTAAGTTTGAGTGAAACTCTGGCTGCTTTGAGGGACTTACCTATCCCCAGACTAGAGATAATTTCAAGGTCTTGAAAGCTACTGGCTTCTAATATTGCTTGTGGTAGCTTCAGGGTGAAGGGCAGCAAATCTCTGTAAAAATAAACACAGTGAAAAAAACAATGAAAGAATAAACCACACAATTGCTAGGAACCCCAGATTTCACTGTTGGTTCTAGTGACTGAATCACAATTTCAGCCTTCCCTGCAAAGTCCTGGATGTTGTCATGGGAAGATCTTGTGGCCTGTAAGGCATCATGGACATTGTGCCAGCCTGGATTGCTCTGATTTCACTAGATATCACCAGTTCCTGTGGTGACAGTTCATGCCATGCCACTGGCTTAATGATGGGGTCTCTGCTTTCTCCTCTGAAAGAAGCAGGAACACCTCTCACCTCAGAGGAAGCCACAAGGGTTCAAATACCTTCCCATGAAAACTGAGGTGTGAAAATGGTAATTACTGTAATTAGAAAAGCCATTCTTTCTGGTGTGGAGGGGCTCTGCAGTCCTTTTTCTTTCTGTTTACCCCTCTCTCCCTGCTCTGCTTCCTGTTTTAAGAATCAGTGTAAGTATAAAGCATGGGGACGTGGCAAGACAGTGAGGTTAGGGAAGGGAGACCCCTTCTGAGGAAGGGTAGCCCCTGTGTGAAGTGACAGACAACGACGAAATGCTGCATGACACTGAGAAAATACATATACCCCTCTACTCTCCACTCTCAGATTTTTGCCTGCTTGGTTTATGGAAAGATGCTGTATTTTTACGGGGGGGGGGGAAATGCAGTTTCTCAGAGGTCATTAGCTGGATTTCACACACCCTAAGTTTTAAATAATTAATTGGAGCTCTTGGGCTGATATTGAACTGTTTATGTTTGCCTCTTGCCTAATGACAATCTGCTAAACCTGTTCCTATGTCAATTCCCATTCTAACGATGACTAGAAAAACCAAACCAATAGTCCCTAAAAGGCAGCATGTAATAGTGCAGGATCATTTTACACACTAAGAAGATTAACAAAATGCTCTGCAAGATGCAGGAAATTATTTTAGAAACAGCTGGCCTTGTGAGTAGGTGGTATCTGCTACACAAACAGGCATCCCAAACATGCGCATGACTGCAGACCTGAGTAGGACCAATTTATTGATAGATAAATGCAAGGCTGCTACTTTTGCTCTTATTAACACATCCATGCCTTACTGATGTACTGTGTAGTCCATGAGATCTCTGTGCACCACTGAGCACCCTGTTGTCACATTGTTTGACATAAACTGATGTGATCAGTTATCACATCAGGAGTATTACTTTGTCATGGCAAATATGAGGTTTAGAAGAGGAAGAGAGTCCTGGGACATTCTGCTTTCTTTGTTTGTTACTGTTCTTACTGTTATATTTGCTATAGGTATCAGTAGTTCCTTTTTTTCTTCTTTTTTTTTTTTTGTGGGTAGAAAAATACATCTAAAAATCAGGAAACATTGAGACATTAGCTTAATAGCAAAAAATCTGGTTTTATTCATAGGGCAGTAGCTTACAGGCAAGCACCAAGTCACCTGTTACCTACAGGTGTTACTTTGGGGATCTAAGGTAATCAAGCCAGGCCAGACTTTCTTTTGAGAAGAGCCTGTCAGCCCTGATAAGCTGTTTCCAGCTCTCTATAAATGACTATTTATTACAACCCTGAGAACAGGTTTTTCCACATAACATCATGGAGACCTCCTACAAGCTGCCAGTAAATGGTAGGTGAATGCTTAAGCAGCTTTTTTATTTCCTGCTTCTCTCAGAAAACGATTCCCTATTTTCCTTGTCTTTTGACAGAGACCTGAAAAATCACATGAACCACCTGCGGGAAAGCAGAAGTGAGCATATTTTCCCTCCCACTGGCCATTGACTTGAAACGCTCTATTCTTGTTTGCATTTGGGCTCTGCTTTGGTAACACAGAAACCTTTATATGGGTCCAAGGGTTCATTTAAGCCCATTCTGTAGGGTCTATACATATCTAGATGGCTATCTTGTCATTAAAGAGGGTGAAACAGAGTCCCTTGTGTTTGTGTAGGAGTCCTGGCCCAGCAGCACTGAACTCAGTTGGCTGCAGCAGCAGCCCTCAATATGGTGCAAATAGTACTGTCCGGGTAAGCTGTGGCATACTGGATCATACCATTGATAGAATGCTCCTGCTATGTGACCTGAGTCACTAACAAGGCTGCCTGGTAAACATATCCCGAATCTGTTTTTACCTCTTAAATGGAAGTAACTACTTTAAGAGTCATCTAAGTTTATACAGGGAAGGCCAATAGTTTACATCCAACTCAAAACCAGGCCTTCTGTGGCAAAAGTAAGATAAGGAGGTTGTGGAGGTATCACTGCATTGTGCTCGGCACAAACAGATGAGAGGAGACTGCAGACAGAGGAAACACAGACGGACTCATCAGCTGCTGATCAGACCGTGTTCTAATGAAAATGAAGGTCTGTCCTATATCCGTGGCCATCAGGTTTGGTATTTCTGCACTGAACAAACAAGCAAGGTCTCTTCCTTATTGCTTTACTGTATTTTTAAATTTTGGCTAAAGAAATAAATCCTTTCAGGACTACTCTCCTTGACAGATTCCCCACAGGTGACTAAGTGCTCTGAGCCTCCCACAGCCAACAGTCCATTAGTAGATTTACTAATGAGCTGCCAAGTATGTGTGGATGCTAAAGCTGCTTTAAGTAAGAGAGAGTTAATCCAGGCCCCATTTTCCTCCCTGCCCTCCTAGCCCCAGTCCTGTGTCTCAGTTCTCTGTGGGTGCAGCACTATAGACCTTCCTCAGACAAAGACTGCAGCTTCAGAGACATCCGTGGTTATGATGTTCCTGGCTAGAAACTGAGTGGTCTGTCCCTGTTGTAGATACCAGCACCTGAAATACCTCCTCATCTGGCAGGTTAGAGGAGACGGGAAGAAATAGAGGGGGCTGTGCTGTGGCTGGATACTGGGGAAAGGCACTCCAGAGGGCAGAGTGAAGCTACCTCTCCATAGAAGCAATGAATTCAACTCACCTACTGACACAGTAGAAGGCAACCAGTTTGAAGATGTCCTCAAATACAAGGACAGATCCTTCCAGGTACAGGACTGATAAAAAAATAAAAAAAAGTCAGTCAGCAACTGTTTTCTTTGAGCTATACAGTAAAAAAGGTGGTGGGTTTGGCTCGCATACCTTGTATTCTGTGATTGTCCAGTATTTGCATGGACTAATACAAAGAAGCACAGAGAATTGGCTTCAGAAGGCCACAGTGAGAATCTTTGGGGAAACACTGGAGAAGAAATGTCTTAGCCTAGCTCTCTGAATGATTCGCTCAAGATATCAGACTGTTGTGACAGTAATAGATACAATAGGAAGAAAAAAACCCCAGGTTACAGCTAAAGAGTTCTTCATAATAAGCCCATCTGTCTCTAAGGGTGTGCATATCTGTAATACGAGCATAATATGAGGCTGACCTTGTGACTCTCCATGCTGGAATCTGGTTTGGTCTGGATGGACAAAGTGCTTTGAAGAAAAAGAAAAAATAGAAATCACTGTCTTATTACTATGTGTGTGGGCTCTGACCTGGGTCACACAGGCAGCATGAACACAGCCTATTTGTATCTTCCCTGTCTTCTCCCTTCATTGTGTTATATAGCAACAACACTTTCCTTTAAGTGGCAAAATATAATCCACACCACATTGCAGAGTTCTTCAAGATGACCTCCTTTATAACAGCATGCTATGGTATTGTGTAGCCCAAACCTCACATGTTACTATAAAGGTTTTGGCTGCTAAACCAGAAAAAAATTCGCTAGCTGGTGGAGAAGATTTCACATTGATCAGTAATCCAAGGCAGAGAGAAAGAGATGGTTCTGCAGGAGAAAAGTGTCCATCTTTGCTTCAGCTTTATAGTCTCACAAATTGTCTGTGCCTCTATGTACAGAACACACCATCACAGAGATGACAAGTTGAAGGAAATCTGCAGTGGGTTCCAGTGGTGGAAAACTGGATTCCCCAGAGCTGCCTCTTCCTGCCAGAGGAGCACAGTGAAGTTCTCGAGGAGCAGCGCTGGCTCACACCACACAGCTGTGCCCACAGCTGCTCTGTATCTTCCTTTGCTCTTCTAGGCCACAGTTCAGAGCTGTAGACATGAAGCTCGGCTACCGTGATTCAGCTTCATGGTCTGCCATGATTCACACACAGCTCTGTGAAATGTGGCCAGCTCCTTGCCCTGTCTACTTGGTCATTAGCTCCCCTACAAAGCAGGGCCTCCAGCACCTGTGGGATGAAGACATCTGCCTGGCTCTCTTCTCTTTTGGCTGCATGCACTGGCTCTTGCTCTCAAGCCAGCAGAGAATCCCACTGGAAGGAAATGCTCAAGCTTGTCTATGGTTCAGCTTCACAGTTCATTCCCCAAACAAGGCATTTCCTCCTTTTCGCTTTGTCCTAGCCCAGGCAGTCAAGTTGCTCTTTTGGCCTCAGCACACCACTATAAGCATTTTTTAAAGAGGCAAAGGGCATGTAATTCTCAGAAGTCATTCTTAACATTAGTTTGTGTTGGATAAGCACAAACAGATCAACTGTAGTGCGTGTGCTGATACCAGACTGCAACATGGAATTTAAAACATATTTCAGGCAAAACAATTCCTTTCTCTTACTTTTCTTCCACAACTGGAAAAATACATGTTTGGCAAGGTTTTTCTTTTTCCATAATATGAATCATATTTCAGTCAGGGATTTTCACTAAACATCTACAATGAACAATTTCTATAGTTTGAAACCAATCTGCTTTGCAGCTCTGACACAGGAAACCAAAATAAAGACAAAACCCAGTGCTGTTCCACAGAATGAATCAAACGCCAGGAGTCTGAACTTGCTTGAACCTCCAATAAGTAACTAAAGCCCTTTGTGCAGACAGTTTTAAGGACTTCTCTTCTGTTAAGAGCCAGATGTGGCATCCCGGATTGCAGGTGTGCATAAGAGCAGGATGCACCTGCACATGTTTGCACACATCATCAGATCACTTGGATTGGGAGTACTGATTGTTTCTGTGCCAGGAAGCTCTGCCATTTGGGAGGTTGAATTTTAGAAAAAAAGAATATTAGTTCAAGCCCCTCAGTGTCAGGAGTGTCCACATGGAAGTGCCTTTTCACCCTATAGCTACTTCTCCTCCCATATAAATAGTTAACTAGCATAAACTACTACAAATCAACAGCAAGGATATAACTACAGCAGTCTAGGTACAAAACCTGCTGGAGCTTAAGGACAGGAGTTTTCAGCCGGTGGTATATGGAAACTGGATTGCCCCTGGTCTGCTCCGAGAGGTCAGAGTAGGTAACAAAATCAAGTGTATTTGTCAGCAAGCTGGGATTCACCCTTGGCAGTGTTCAAGGTGAGGTAGGATGGTGCTTTGAGCAACCTGGTCTAGTTTGAGGCATCTCTGAACGTGGCAGGGGGTTGGAACTGGATGTCCTTAAGGTCATTTCCAACCCTGACTATTCTGAGATTCTGTAAAGAGACACAGCTCTGCTGGGACATTTTTAGGTGACCTGCAAGCAAGAATAGAAAAACACTGGCTTAGATGGATCATTACTGAAGGTACCAGCACCACTGCGACCAATACTCTGCCCAAAATTTATTTTTAACAGTGACAGTGTCAGCAGCCTGGGCAGGGCTACAGCAGCCACTTGGATCTGCTCCCAGTACAGCACCTATGGGGAAAGCCTTGCAATATCCAGTGGGTAATGTCTTCCTTGGGGGAAACTGCAACACTTTTTCCTTAAGCTGTTTTTATCTAGTCACCTGCTGACTGCCAGTAAGCATCGCTGATAAGCAGTGCTTCCTGGCTGCCTTGCTCTTGGGTAGCATATTTCTGATTCTTGGAGGGATGTAGCAAAGAGCAAGTTTGTACAGCTAAAAGAGTTCTGCTGACTGCTGGGGACAATATATCCCTTCCCCCGTGCCAATATTGCCTCCAAAGCACCCTGCTCTGAGGAGAGAGCCAGGAAGAGTTGCTTTTCTCTGGCTGTGGAGACACTGTGGGTAGCTGGGGACATTTCACTGAGATGAGCACTGCTGCTCGGGGAGGGATCATGATGTTGCCGTTTATAAGAACTTATGACTTGTGCAAAAGCTACAAGCAGACACTTTTCTGCCAGACCACTGTAATCCTGCTGAAAACTGCAGAGACAAAATTCACCTTTTCTGGGCTCGTAAAACTACACCCAGGGCACCTGAAGAGCAAGGAAATCCCTACATCTCACCAGAACAGTGGCAGGATGTTAAGAATATTATCAAAAGCAGTATCAAGATCTATAAAAAAATATCAGGCTGGGCTCTGAGAGCCAAACATATTGCCACAGCATACTGAGTTTTACCTGGTATTTAGAAGCCCACAGAAAAAAGTCACCTTCAGGAAACCAAAGAAGAAACGTGTAGAGCAATGGGCAATTTTGAACGGTCTGAAACAAAGATACCAGAAGTAATTGAAAAAATGTTCTGGGTGATGGGAGCGTTAGTAACACAAATCAGGTTCATTGTGGACCATACTCTGTATTGTGTCCTTTGTGCAACTCCATAAAGGAAGAAGACATAGACAATTTATAAAATATTTATAATTTTCCTTTTACTATACCAATGTGCTCTGAAGAGTATCATCTTTAGGCACTGACTGGAATCTGTCTTCATATTTACTTTACTCTTTAGATCTCCCCATCATTTATCCATCCAGATGCTGATGTTGTTGAGTCACACTGTCCCTGAGTATTCTGATTCTTCCCACAGAATGGTGTTTTCTAGTCCCGCTGTTCTGGTCACATGGACAAACCACCCCAGTTTCCATCTTCTTACTGCTTACATAGGCTCATGGGACCCAATTACTTCAGCTTCTTCTTCTCTAATGGTGCTATTGGTCTTATTCACTGTTTCTGATATCTGAATAGAGACATCTGAATTCAAAGATATGAATCCCTTATTCTGCAGCAGTTGTGTTTACAGAGGACTACTGAGAGCACAACTGTTCTCTGAAGTTCTGCTTGGATGTGCTTGAGATGCTCTTAATCTTTCCAGATTCTGGCAAACTGTGAGATTTGTCACCATGGGTGCATTAATTCCACTTTTCTATGTTAAGATTTAAAATTATAACTCCACATTCTCCTAACCAGATCTCTTATTGGCATTTCCATCCTTTGATATAAGTCCTTGCACTGACCTTTGCAGTAAGCACCACTAGCCAGCTTTGTTGCTGTTCTGCTAACCTCAGTCCTTTACTTGCTGTGAAAGTGGGATCACTCCAAAGCAGAGATTATTGACTTTCCTAGTTCTGGATCCTGACATTCCTAGCTGCTGCACAGGCCAGGTTAGCAGGCTCCTGGCCCTGCAGAATGAGGCCCAGGTATTGTAATAGAGGACTGCATTGACTGCTGTAGCCTTGGTGTGGAGCCTGTTGAGTTTATCATGACACACTTGACAAACCTGCAATACTTTGCAGAGATGTGTGAGAGTGTGATGTAATTCCTTCAGGTTATTGCTTCAGTTCCCTGAGCACATGGAAATCTCCTTCGGGCCCTTATTCATGCCCTAGGATGGTGGCAGTATTAAGAGAGTGTTAGCTGCCTAGAAGGAAATTTAGATTACATTGCTAGAAGTCCTTAGGGTGTTTACAGTGTCTTTCAGCAACAGAAAGACAAAACAACAGCTCTGTTTATTTGGAAGCTCCTATTATCTATCCTAATGTTTCATATATTACTTTTTGATGGCCTTCTGGATGGTAACATAGGACCTTCAAATGCCTTGTTCTTGTCAAAAACTGTCACTGTTTATCTGTTTTCTCAAGGCCTTTTTATTTCTCCTGTAATCTGATGCCTCTGCTTCTTCCATCTGATGTCCAAGCTGCAGTTGCCTTTCGGTTGCACAATTTTAGAGCATCTTGGGCAATGCAAGTCTGTTTTGTCTTTTCTTTCCTAGTGATTCTTTAATGAAACTGTCAGTTGTTTCTGGTTTTTATCCTTCAGCAAGGGCAGAAACTTCTCTGGTTTAGACTTCTGCCAAAGACTTCTGTTGTGCATCCAACTCATGCTTTCTCACGGGATTTCAATTTTACAGCTTC